TCGCCTCCCTCCCCCCTCGATCGATTGTTTGTGAGAGAGGGGGGGGGGGGGGGGGGGGGGGGGGGGGGGGGGGGGGTTGTAGGGGGAAGGGAAGGAGGGAACTTACGAAATCGGCGAGAATTTCGCCTCCCCTGCCCCCTCGATTGATTGTCAATGGAGGGAGCGGGGGAGGAGGGGGGCAAGGGGGGGAGTTACGAAATTGTCGAGAATTTCGCGTCCCCTCCCCCTCGATCGATTGTTCGTGAGGGGCGCGGGAAGGGGGGCGAGGGGGGGGGGGGGGGGGGGGGGGAGGAAAGGGGGGGGGGGGGGGGGGGGGGGGTGTGGGGGAGGGTGGGTGAGGGGAAGATTGGCGAGAATTTCGAAACCGACGAATGTTTCGAAATTGGCGACGGAAATGTTCTCTGTACTTGCTGTAAACAAAAAATTTACAAAATGCCCTAATAGAGTTGCATATAAATTAAAGTTTATGGGAATGTTTTTCTGACACTATCTACAATAATATAACGATAATTCTACTGAATCATTTACCGTGTTTCTCTATTATTAATTTAAATTCATAACTCTAATTAACAACGAACTCATACAAATATATTTTCATTACGCATTATACATATGTTGTTACGACGAATAACTGTATATTGGTGTAGGCAATTAAAACTATCCCTAGTACACGGTCGAGCAAAAGATGTGTCCTCTTGTGATGGTGGGAAGGTTCGAACCTGAGCGCTTACGGTTTAATCTCTCGCAACCACTGGGACATTTCACACGTGTAAGATGGTTTCAGAACGTTCTCTGTAAATTTTGCGTTACGTGCAGTGACAAGTGTAGGATGGAACACTTTCGGGAAGTACTGTACACTGTCCCGATTGTCCCTTTCAGAAGCGTAGATACATTTGGGACAGTTCGAAGAGACCCGAAAGAGGCTTACGTGATGGCAATTTTAGGGGTATGGATTTGGGACCTGAACTTTTTGGTGATGCCATTGTCTCCCTATTAGGCTTCTGCACCGGAAGGCTCCCTCTGTACGAGCCATGGTGCGTAACTTCTGATGCATTGCCATGGGCCCTTTCCGAGCCGAGTGCTGCAATTTTCTCCGTGGCTCATTCATCATGCTGTCACCGTCCAGGAACCTGACTGACCTACCCTGTGACTGACCTTTTGTGGCTGACATACATGGTGATTCACATAGCTTGTGCCTGATCTTGCCCGTGATCGACATAGTTTTCTCACCTAGCCCATCTCACCTAGCCTGTCTGACCTAGCCTCTCACCTAGCCTGTCTCACCTAGCCTGTCTCACCTAGCCTGTCTCACCTAGCCTGTCTTACCTAGCCTGTCCTTCCTAGCCTGTCTTACCTAGCCTGTCTTACCTAGCCTGTCTTACCTAGCTAGCATGTCTGGACCTAGCCTGTCTGACCTAGATTGTCAGACCTAGCTTGTCTTACCTAGCCTGTCTGACCTAGCCTGTCTGACCTAGCTTGTTTGACCTAGCTTGTCTGACCTAGCTTGTCTGACCTAGCTTGTCTGACCTAGCTTGTCTGACCTAGCTTGTCTGACCTAGCTTGTCTGACCTAGCTTGTCTGACCTAGCCTGTCTGACCTAGCCTGTCTGACCTAGCCTGTCTGACCTAGCCTGTCTCACCTAGCCTGTCTCACCTAGCCTGTCTCACCTAGCCTGTCTCACCTAGCCTGTCTGACCTAGCCAGTCACTGTCATAACTGGTGATTGACATAGCTTGTGGCCGACCTATCTTGCTGCTGGCAGCCTAGACATGTGCACAGAGGCGAGTCGAATGCCGGGTCGAGTCGGCCCTCACTCGAGTCAACCCGCAAGTAGAGGTTGCCTCGACCTGGTAATGTGATCTTTTATTCACAATGGATGGGCTGGGCACATGTGGGTCCTTGCAGGTGGTTGAAATTCCAGTGGATCATTTCTCTCAGTAAAACATTACTACGAGCTGAAACGGATCCCTTGGCGGTGCTAAGGTAGAACGACAGACCCAAAGCGGGTTGCTTGGCAGCACTAAGGTGAGTAGACCAACGTGAGTTGCTTCGAGTGAGGGCAAGACGATCCAAGGTGGATGGATCACTTTGCACCAAGGCAAACGATTGAAGGTCGGATGGTTTGGCGAGATAAACTTTGAGTGAAGTTGGAAAATGGATCTCAAAGACGCAAGCAATTTCTGAACAGATGTTGGTTGACTAAAGGTAAGTGCCTGGGTCAATTGCGACAACCTACTCAAGTCGCGACCAGTCAGTCAGCTGCAACTCGTTGAGTCACCGACTTGGCGGGCTTTGCTGACGCAATGCAGTCAGGTGATGCATTGAATTGGTTATTAGCTTGAACCTACACGGCTCGGCAAAATTCGATTGAAATATAATATTTGCACTTACTCCACTCCGTGACAAACGAGTTGGGCGAGTCGAGTCAAAACTTTGACTCACTGATTGCATCTAACCTGGCCTGTGGTTAACCTTGCATGTGACCGACCCGTGCTGTTGTGACCGACCCAACTATGACTAGCCTAGCTTGTGTCTGACGTTGCCCTTGATAATAAGTGACCCAACCTGTGACCATCCTAGCCTATTACTTCTTATTTGTGCCAGACCTAGCTCGTGCTTGACCTAGCAATGCTAGCATGGGATGGACCTAGTCCATGAAAGGTTTGAGTTGTGAGTGTCATAGCTTTTGACTGACTGGACTTTCTGACCGATTCAGTTGAGCATGACGTAGCTTGTGGGTGAGCGACCTTGCTTGTGAATGACCAAACCTCTCTCTGGCCTTGAGTGTGATTGACCTAGCTTGTGACCGACCTAGCTTTTAAGTGAATTGAGTACAACACCAGCGCGACCCGAGTCAACTTTCAAGCCGGCCAGCTCTCAAAGAGCAGTTCAAACGGCTAGCCACTGCTCAGCCCTTTGTTCACTCGTACAATGCATGGCATTAAGTACCATTCATGTTCTCCTACTGCCCTTTGTTCTGCCCTCTACTTTCAGATCTCCTTGTTGTGTGCTCGCTTCAGCTTCCCTCGCCTGCCTGACTGTGGTAAGGAGAAGAGCTGGCAGGTTTCATGTCAGTCTAATTTGAACTCTTTGCCTTGTCGCCATTGCTGCTCCAAATCCTCATGCAGCATACATCTTATCATGCTCTTTTTCTCCGGCCTCCCAGAATCTTCTTTGGCCAAGTGCTGCTGGTTTGGTTCTACCTCCAGTTTTGCGGCCCTCCTCACCTGCTTGTACTGATGTCAATTTCTGGTGCAGTTGGATACATTGGATTCTCTTAGAAGCAGTTAAGAAGTCTGCCCTTTTTAGTCTCCCCGCTCTTGTTGCTCTGCTCGTTCAGCTCACTCTATGTGACTGACACTAGGCCCTCTGTGTGCCAGCCCTCTGTGTGCCTCTCCAATGTGAACCACCCTTTGCGTCTCCACCCCTCACATCACCCACTGCATTTGTTTCCGCCTTGCTGCATTGTTTGTTTTGTGGTGTCCCTTTTTCACAGTCCCTGCTGGTTTGTCTTGCCCTTCCTGACATATTCTCTTCATTATCTCTTCCTGGCCTCCTCTGGTTTGGCCGTCATCGTGCTTTTGAGTCGACTCAAAAGCTCCTCTGGTTTGGCCGTCATCGTGCTTTTGAGTCGACTCAAAAGCTCCTCTGGTTTGGCCGTCATCGTGCTTTTGAGTCGACTCAAAAGCTCCTCTGGTTTGGCCGTCATCGTGCTTTTGAGTCGACTCAAAAGCTCCTCTGGTTTGGCCGTCATCGTGCTTTTGAGTCGACTCAAAAGCTCCTCTGGTTTGGCCGTCATCGTGCTTTTGAGTCGACTCAAAAGCTCCTCTGGTTTGGCCGTCATCGTGCTTTTGAGTCGACTCAAAAGCTCCTCTGGTTTGGCCGTCATCGTGCTTTTGAGTCGACTCAAAAGCTCCTCTGGTTTGGCCGACATCGTGCTTTTGAGTCGACTCAAAAGCTCCTCTGGTTTGGCCGTCATCGTGCTTTTGAGTCGACTCAAAAGCTCCTCTGGTTTGGCCGTCATCGTGCTTTTGAGTCGACTCAAAAGCTCCTCTGGTTTGGCCGTCATCGTGCTTTTGAGTCGACTCAAAAGCTCCTCTGGTTTGGCCGTCATCGTGCTTTTGAGTCGACTCAAAAGCTCCTCTGGTTTGGCCGTCATCGTGCTTTTGAGTCGACTCAAAAGCTCCTCTGGTTTGGCCGTCATCGTGCTTTTGAGTCGACTCAAAAGCTCCTCTGGTTTGGCCGTCATCGTGCTTTTGAGTCGACTCAAAAGCTCCTCTGGTTTGGCCGTCACTGTGCCAGAGTCTTTTTGCTTCACTGCTTGATATAGGCAAGGCATGGGCACAGTCCCTTCTTCTCCCACATCTTGTCATCAGATTCCCTCTTCGTCTGCTCCTTATCTGCTCTCTTTCTCCCATCAATGCGTCATCCCTCATGCCTGTGTAATTGGTCTCGTTCGTGTGTGCACTAACCACGACCCTTCTCCCTCTTTCCTTTTTACGATTCTCTTTCCTCTCACGACGCTCAACCCTTCCCTACCAGGGCTGCACGTGTCTACTCTCACCAATCTGAAATCGAAAAGCCAGTTGAACGGAGGGAACAGCGGTCATAGAAGGAGGGTCGTTGAGGGAGTGACTGCACGAGATGGCTGCCGAGGGAGTGACGAGTACAGGGAGTGAGTTGACGATGAACGAGGGGGCGCTGGCAGCAGTGGTAGAGGAGGTGCTTGAGCTGCGCAACACATTGACAGCAGTGCAGGGGGAGTTGGCAGCGGTTAAGGGGAAGTTGGAAGCTGTTGAATGCGAGTTGGCAGAGGTGAAGGGGGAGCTGGCGGAGCACAAGGGCGCTCTGGCAGAGAAGTTGGCTTAGGGTAGAAAGGCACCCGATGCAGAAGGGCTGAGAGGGGAGAGTCGGAAGAGAAAGCAAGAAACCACAGCGGATTCTGCACCGGAGGAGGAGGAGAGGGCGAGTGAGATGCAGGAGTTGAACGAGCCGCGTAACATGGAGGCATCTGCGGCCTGTGAGGAAGGGCAGATGACACAAGATTTGAAGATGGATGTTGAGCTGCAAATCAGGAAGAGTAAAGGCCATCGGAAGCTAGCATGGCAGGTGAGTGTTGAGTGAACTGTTACACAGTGCATGCTTCGTTGGACAGGGCATGGCATGGTTAGACTGGGCATGGCATGGTTGACAGGGTTGACAGGGTTGACAGGGCATGCATGAATTTCTAATGTGGTTGGTCTTTGCTTGTCATTCCTTCCTTTTTCATGACCTCCAGAATATCAAGTCAGCATCACAACGGCCCACTTTAAATCTGAAGGGCAAAGACCTCTCCGACGATATCCTCGCCCATGCGTCCACCATGACACATCTGACGAGCATTAACTTCACTTATAGCGCAGGCCTCAGTACAGAGGGCATCAAGCACCTCTACAGGCTGCCACAGCTGGAGACGCTAAACCTCCAACACACAGACGTCTCAGACAGTGCCTTGGAAGGCATTGGGTCCTTGACCCGTCTCAAGGAGCTCTATCTCGATCAAACCAATGTGACCGATGCTGGCCTGGCGCACTTGACAGCACTGACCTCCCTCGCAGATCTGCGGCTGTATTTGTGCAAGGGTGTGACGGATGCTGGCATGGTGCACGTGGGGAGGTTAACAGGGCTCGAGGTACTTCTGATGGTTAAGACGGGAATTACAGGCACTGGCCTTCTGCACTTGACAGGTCTCACCTCTCTCAAAGTGCTGGACCTTACCAGTGGCGAGGGTCTAACAAGCGCTGGATTGGTGGATCTGGGGAGGTTGGCATCGCTGAGGAGGCTTTTTTTGCAGAACTTGGCAGGCCTCACCGATGACGGTCTACAGCACTTGACAGGTCTTTCCACTCTCGAAGAGCTGCTTCTTGGTGGCTGCAAGGGTGTGACGGATGCTGGCATGGTGCATGTGGGGAGGCTGACAGGGCTGAAGGGACTATTTCTGAGTGGCACGCCAATCACGGATGATGGGCTGCTGCAGCTGACTGCCCTGACCAAGCTGAGAACCCTCCAGCTGCCAATCACGGATGATGGGCTGCTGACAAAGTGCGCAGCTGGATAGGTAGGTAAGGGGGCCAAGAGTGATGGAGGGGAGGGAGACACTTGAAGGCAGAGTCAATTGTGACTGCTTGGAGGGAGGGTGAGGAGAGGCGTGGAGGCAAGGGGGTGAAGAATAAGGGGAGGCATGGAATGGTGGTGGTGCAAGGCTCAACTTGCATGCTGCAGAGAGTTGTGGCATGTTCATGTGGACCTGGTGCCTTGCAGTTCGACAGAAGCAGGTGCAGGGATTTTTGGACACTCGAGACCTAGTGCATGTTGGAGCTGCATCAGAAATTCCTGCCTGGCATTTCTTATGATGGAGCGGGAAGCGGTCATCAGCAGGGCGGACGGGGAAGGCGAAGGGGAGGGGGGAGGCGAGGCAGAGCAGGAGGGGAAGGGGAGGGGAGGGGGGAAACCTGGGGACAAGGGCGAGGAAGAGAGCTGCGAGGGACGTGAGCATGGTGGACGGCAGCAGCAGTAGCGGCAGCAGTGGCAGCAGCAACAGTGGTGGCAGCAGCAACAGTGGTGGCAGCAGCAACAGTGGTGGCAGCAGCAACAGTGGTGGCAGCAGCAGCAGCAGTGATGGCAGCAGCAGCAGTGGTGGCAGCAGTGATGGCAGCAGCAGCAGTGATGGCAGCAGCAGCAGTGATGGCAGCAGTGGTGGCAGCAGCAGCAGTGATGGCAGCAGTGGTGGCAGCAGCAGCGGTGGGAGAGGGTTGAGATCAGGGGTTGCGAAGGATGGAGAGAGTTGAGGGTGGTTATCAAGGAGTGTGAAAGGCTATGCATGTGGAGGAATGGGGCATGGCATCGTGGTTGTGCTCAGCTGATCTTGCATGTTCCCTGGGGTTGAAGAATGGTCGTGTAGACCTTGTACCTTGCAGTTGGTTGGGCAGGGCAGAAGCAGGTGCAAGGCTGGTTGGGCAAGAAACCGGTTTCATGAGAGGAGCTGACGTCTCTCCAGCTCCTACATAGGGATTCTCATGAGGATGTGCGCAGGCAGATAGGCGGGTATTGATGTAGGGAGTGATGGTGGAGGGAAAAGTTGAGAGGCTTGAGGAGTGGTGTTCACAACTGTAGCCTTCATCTGTATTTTTTGTTCTGGCAAACCAGCAAAGTTAGACATTTTAGAGTCCTTAATCCATTCTAGTCATTTTCTCTTCTGTAGGAGCTGGTTTTCGAGAATTCTCAAAAACCAGCTTGTAGGAAAACGATTCTGCAAGCAAGTCCTTGCTCCTTTTTTATGTGTGTGCCGTCAACTCTGAATGTTCCATTGATACCGTAAGATACTGTAAGAACTTTCACCATCCAGCAATACTGAAATTGAAAAAAGGAGTGTTTGATTCGTATCAAAGAGCCACACTGTTGTTTGAAACGGGCATGCATGTGCTGCGGCTTCATAGAGGGCGTATGGTTGGTTAGGCTGAGTGGCAGCCTGGAAGTGCTTCATGCATGGGACAAAGGGCAGAGGAGTAGCACACAACTGTCTTTTCCTGCATGAGAAAGCCGTGAGGTCGCTTATGCTGCTGCGTCATCCAACCAACCCCATATACGGTAGCAAATACACTGGCAAACAGGATGAACATAGGAGATCAACTAGATTTCAGATGTTCCTGCTTCTCAGTATGCAGTGCGAACTGCTGGCCCTACTACAGTACAGCCCTGGAAGAGATGAACTGGAATCACATGCTGGAGGCATGCCGGCAATGAAGACTTGCATGTGAATGCATGGGATGGGAGACAAGACAAAGGACATTGTCTCAGCGTGCGCTGCAGAGGTGCAAGGCAGGCTGGTCGCCCTCCTCTCCTTTCCTCCGAGGTCGGTGAGTGTGACCAACACTCACCACATTGCAGCCATGGATTTAGTATGGAAAGATAAGACCAAGGCTATTGCATCTGCATCCCCTCACTGCACCCCCACCATTCTACCCACTTAATACGCCCCCCACCCTGCTTGTTTCTGCTGCTGACTCGGATTCTGCTGCTGTGTAGTACCCACATCGTGTCCCTCGGAGCTCGAGGGGGTATGCTGGAATTGACTGAAAGGCAGGCATGGGTGAACGGCAGGCATGGGTGAACGGCAGGCACGGGTGAAGGACAGGCATGGGTGAATGGTAGGAAAGTGATAAGCGATTGGATCAGTCCTAGCAATAAGGCATGGGTTGAGGTGTGCTTGCACCGCTGCCCCAACACTCCAACTAAAATACTGACATGGCAGCTCATGTTGACATGCAAAGCATCCCCCCATAAGCTGTAGAACGTTCAGGTTGGCTAGCTATACCACTCCAGCCATTCCTGTCCGCGTGCATTGAGGTCGTTTTTGAGGCGCCTCAAAAACGACCCCATAAGCAGTAGAACGTTCAGGTTGGCGTGCTAACTATCCCACTCCAGCCATTCCTGTCGCCACCAGCCTCACCTCCCTCCATGCTTGGCGTTGGCAAAGATCAGACCAAGGCCAAGATCAGCTCTCGCCACCAGCTCTCATTCTTTGTTGGGTTTGTTAGATTTTACATCATGGCAAGGTGCCTGAGAGAAGCAGCTGGGGGCAGATAGGGCGGGGGCAGAGGAAGAGAAGGTGGGGTCATGGGGGGGGGGGGGGGGGGGGGGGGGGGGTGGGGGGGTCAAGAGTAAGGATTCTTGAAAGGCGATTGGAGTGCATACAGCGCCTCTGCTGCCACCAACAACCAACCTCGTACTAGGGGGAGAAGTGTACGGAGGGGGTTGCGGTGGGAGGGGGAGGGGTTGGTGAACAGATAATGAAGAGATGTATAAATAAACAGCACAGGAAAGGGGGGTGGGGGTGGAAATTGGGTGATCGCATATCAGCAGGTTGTGGTATTAGGTGAAATGAGAAGAAGGAAGAGTTGCTTCCTAAGGGTGCAATGGAAATGGTGCTGGTGCTTGGTTGGGATGGTTGCGGAGCAGATGCGAGGGTGATGGTGTGTTTTGTGATGGTGAGTCGACTCAAAACACACTTGGTTGGGATGGTTGCGGAGCAGATGCGAGGGTGATGGCTGGAAGCAGAGGATAACCCGAATGGTAAGGAACATTTGATCCATGCATGGGTTTGGTGCGAGAAGGGGCATGGGATGATGAGACCAAGGGCACGACACAACGTGATTTTGGTTATAACCAAATGGATAAAACGAATAATGAAGAGAGGGCAGAGGGAAAAAAGGGAGATGACAGGGAGCGAGCAGAATAAGAGGCCGCAAAAGGAAATGAAAGGGAAGTGTGTGGGGAGAAGAGGGACAAGAAAGGAAGGGTAGGTATGTGGGGTGGGAGGGAGGGGGTATATGGGGGGATGGGGAAAGCAGGGAACCGGGGAGGTGGGGGGGGGGGGGGGGGGGGGGGGGGGGGGGGGGGGGGGGGGGGGGGGGGGGGGGAGGGGGGGGGGGATGGGGGAAGAGGAAAGGCGAGTTGATGTGTTGTAAGTGATGTCACACCACACGACTGACTGAGTGGTGCAGGATGTGGGGCTGGACGGGGCATGGGATGACCACTCTGTGGTGCGGGAAGGGAAAGGTCAGAGGGGAGGGAAAAAGGTCAGGGCATGCTACTTAGAGATGAGGGTGACAGCCGATGATGGCACCGCACACCAGAAAACTAGCAGCGCGGCGGTGGAATGAGGTGTGCGGAGAAGCAGTGTGTTGTTGGGTACTTATTTTCCTTTAAATTTGCTGCAGGTTTTGTTCACTAGCTTATTTAAACTTTGTACGTATTTGTTTACATTATAATAGTGTAGACAATAGGGGTTGGGTTATATTAGTTATAGGGTGCCCCCTGAGTGACTTTATCAAGTGCTAGGCACCCCAAATTCGGCTTTGGGGCACCTCAGCACGTTTCCCAATCTTGGGGACGCGGCTCCAGCCTGGACCCACGAATTTCAACATTGGAAACGCGGCTCCAACTTGGAATTCGCGTTTCCAATTCGTGGAATCGCGGTTCCACTGTAGGGGGCGCTTCCAGGCCCACTTTGAGGGTCCCTCACGTCCCCATCTTGACTGTGGGCGACTTGAGCACCCATTTGGCCACCCCAAGTCCCTTGGGTACCAAATTCCTCACCTGGACCAGCCCAAGTCGCCTCCAAGCTAGCTCTCTTCATTTTCTGCCTATTTTAGCCTTTGTTTTGCTTGTATTCATCACTTCAGTTGATTTACTGCTTCTAGAACCTTTCAGCATTTCAGAACCAGCCTCTCCTTCTACACAGTGCTCAGGTTCATTCTGCCTCGTCAACAAATATAGTGCCGAAACACAATACTGGCCACGAGTTGGCGAAGGGACGATCTGAGATAAGCGTAAACAGTAGCAATGGATGGGAGAAGAGGGACAGGATGAAAAAATGATTCAGATGCCTATCACCTTCTCTCACCTCCGCATTGTGCACGTCGCCCTGCCGTCATCAACTGGAAAACCATCCACTATCTCATATCCATGGCCCCTGCTGGCTGAAACTGCCCACCCTCTCATAGGGCAGCCCTCCCTCCCATTCCTCCCATGGGTGGTCAGCCTCTCATTCCTCCTTCCTGCCCGCGTCCGCGCCACTCGTTGCCGACCGCCTTCGTTACAGCAGCCAGTGAACCTGCCATGCTGCCCGGCTGTGTGTGCTGCAGAGATGAGCTGGGCTGCTCATACTAGTACAGGCAGGCAGGTGACCGGCTTCACTTCACCGCCATCACTGCTGCTGCATCCATGGCTCTGCCATGCTGCCCGGCTGTGTGTGCCGCAGAGATGAGCCGGGCTGCACATGCTCGCTCAGCAGGCAGGTGACCAGTTTCACTTCACCACCATCACTGCTGCTGCATCCCATGGCTCTGCCATGCTGCCCTGCTGTGTGTTCCAGCGATGAGTTGGGCTCCCTCCTCGCCTTCCTCTTCCTCCACCCACCACCCGCTAACTGACTTCAGCGCCACCACTGCTGCTGCATCCCATGGCTCTGCCATGCTGCCCTGCTGTGTGTCATGGAGATCAGTTGGGCTCCCTCCTCACCTGCCTCCACCCCACTCCCCACTCACCGCCTTCACCGCCACCACTGGTGCTGCTGCAGCTCTCCAGCCGCCTGCTGGTCGCCAGGCTTTGCGTCGCAGCCACGAGCTGGGCTCCTTACAGCCGACACAAGGCAGATGCTGTTGGTGTGCTGGGGAGGGTTGGGGTGGGGATGGAGGGGAGTTGAAAAGAAGAGGGGTATACCGCTGGTTGAGAGGAGGGGAGTGGAGAATATCTGATGCTGGCATTGCACAGGGGAAGGCAGTGCTCGCATTCAATCTGCCTTGTCAGAGATCGAGTGGCAGAAGCACCATACTAGGCCTGGAAGGGTGAAGCCGCAAAGGAGGGAGGCATCACATGACAAGAAAACACGGACCATGCGTCTCTCGAGGTATAGTCAGTCACATGTCTCTGCCCCATCAATCTAAAACACCATGGAAACTGTCGAAACGCACAGGTTCACGCCACGAGGCGTTGGCACACGAGGTCGTACTCCTTGCCTCCCGCACTGCCTCCGCCGCAAGCAGATTTTACACACTTTCCAAGTGACTGTAAAGCACAAGCCACACCCACTGTGAACAACACGTCGTACTGCTTATTCCATATCCTTGGATATGGAGTAAGGATATGTACTGCCCCAGAACATCTCCTTGCTCGTACTGCCTTGCTGTCCAAGGACATCTCCTTGGGCCTCCTGACATCTCTACCACCATGTCGCTGATGACACCCAGCCTGTCCAGCATACTCATGGTGATGACCACATTGCCCACTTCTCCACATTGCCCACTTCTCCACATTGCCCTCCTCTGTCCAATGCACATACCAGCGGCCAGTCTCAGCCGCCCCCGCCGCCTCCTCTCCTCCACCCCTCAGACGCTGTTGGTGCTGTTGGTGTGGAAAGGGTTAAGGAAGTGAGGGGGGGAGTATGAAGGAGGTAGAGGCATACTGATGAGCGAGGAGGTGGGAGTGGAAGATAGCTGTTGTTGACATTGCACTAGGGGGAAAGCGGTGCCAACATTAATTATTCCATCAAGACAAGCTAGAGCCACAAGCACCATATTGGGTGGGGAGGGGAGGGGGCGAGGGAGCAAAATTTGGTAGGCATGGCAGCAACATCAATGGACGGAGGAAGGGAGAGAGAGGTTGATGAAAATGTTCAGATTTCTGTGCATACTAAGCATCACTCACCTCTGCGTCGGCACTTTCGCCCTGCCTGCAATCAGACGAGAAGCCACTCGCACGCACGGCATATGTGCTGCCATGTGCCTGCGGGTGTGCTGCCACGTGCCTGTGGCATTTTATACTTCACAACAAAATCCTAAGTCACGGCACGGCATACACAAGCTTGCATCCTAAGTCAGCGAGCAAAACTAACAGTAGTTCAGTCTCAGTTCAGGACAGGGTGCAAGCAAGCAAGTTCACAAATTACTTTCCTACCCTAGGCTGTTTACAAGCAAGGCCTTGTCCAGCCACCTACTTGCACACACTTCATTCCGCTCCTTGCCTATGAGCTAATGTACACTCTATCCTCGTGAAGATACTTGACACCTTGCACCCAAACAGCCTGACATTTCTTCTGCAGCTCCCCTCATGCAGCCATGCGAATCACTACTCACTCCTGATCTCACCCCGTGCCCGCTGCTGCTGCTGCCACTGCTGCTGCATTGCTGCCACCACTGCTGCTGCCATTGCTGCCACCACTGCTGCTGCCATTGCTGCTGCTGCTGCCACTGCTGGTGCCAATGCTGCCGCCGCTGCTGCTGCTGCCGCTGCTGCTGCTGCCGCTCGGAAAAAGCCGGCTAAAGCTCATGGTGGCGGGTAAGTGATTTTCATCCCATCAACATGGGCGAAGGCGGTAAGAACGTGTGGTTTACGTTCCTTCGGCCCAATAATATCTTCGACCCGAATACCCCGCACAAGAAGCGCGTCGCCAATCATCGAGCGATGGCAGCGCCAGGGCACTGCTTCAGCGCACATCAGCACACAACGCTCAGTGCGAGCTAAGTCCGCAACCCATTGCACATTCTCGGCAAACTCAGACGATTGCATATAATCCGCATAACCTCGAAAGGACAGATTGTGCCAACCGGTGTTGGGAGAATCGGCCCGTGCTTTGCGCCGCCCCCCAAGGCCCGGACGATGTGTGTAAGAGATTTGAACTGAATGTAAGGATGTCTTGAGAGCCTCTTTATTGAACTGTGGATTATGGCGCGACCCCGGTAGAGTCCTCACATCAATCACCCGGACAATCCGGTTGCGTTGAAGTAAATCAATAAAGTTTTCCCATGTCCGATTGGAATGGCCGATAGTACAGATGAGTGGCTGGCCCGGTGGGATGCCCGCACTTGCTTCGGATGGCTGCATCGTGGAGTCTAGTTACGCAGGATGTAAGGGAGTGGTGACAATACAGGGCAGGGTTGGAAAGGGAGGAGAAGAAGAGGGAGCATGAGCGAGACAGGGAACGTAGAGGGATAGAAGAGGTGCAACAGTGGGGAAAAACAGGAGGGCTGTGTGTACCTGGAGGGTGGAGGTGGCAGGTGATTCAGATGGGAGCAAGAAGCTGTTGTGGGTGGGTGGGACACCACTGAGAGAACAGATGGACTGTGCTGTGCGTACCTGAGTGCAAGGGCAGCAGCGAGGTGCCAATTAGGAGCCCGGCGCTTCTCAGCAGACTGATTGACAAGCTTCGCAGCCGAGGGCGGAAGGGAGAGAACGGTCCTGAGAAGGAGCATCGACAGACAGACAGGAAATATTCCTTCCCGCTCTTGCAAAGGGGGATCACTTTTGAGAATTCTTGAAGGCTCTTGAAAAGGGGGAAACTAGCAGAAAGCAACAGGAAGATGTGGATGATCAGTACTTGCTTCGAGAGGAAAGAGCAACGAGGGAGAAGCAGCCGGAGGAGGAATGAGGATGAACGAGAGAGCACATGAGGGAAGCATGTCACTTCATTCACGGCACGCACCATCCATTATTCCGTTGTCGACATGGCGTCGCCATCGCGCGTCCGAATCTAAATCACTCGCATCCTACCTGCAATCTTTGTCAGTCACGTGGTACTCTTCCCGCAGCCGTGCTAGTGCATGACGCACGAAACGAGTTTCAAGGGGCATGTTCCGATTTGTGCGCATGAGAATCAACGGTATGGCAACGCGCATAGGACCTGAATGCTAATGATTGACTTGAGGTTGCGATTACCCTAACTCAGCCCTTCGCCACCCGGACGTTAATCGTCATCGCGTTTCCGCGCTCAGCAGCGCGATGCTGGAAGGCTGATTGCATGTCACCCTCGCACGACCCAGGAAAAGACATTAGATTCTCGAAGCTGCTCATGGCGCCATCCTTTACTACAGGCAATGCGCATTTGAGTAAGAGAGCGACATTATCAAGTGCTTCGGATGCAGTCGCAGCGCTCAACTCCCCGACATGCATATAACCATGACACGTGTCGTCACTGATAACTATCGAATTTGGATGGCGACCCCCGTGCTTGCTCGCGCACATCTGGCTGCCGTTGGCGAACAGAACATAGATAGTAGCGACTATGTTCAGGTTTACTAGTTACGGTGGCAGCTAAAAGCGGGGATGATTTGGTGGAGATTGGCGGCAAGGTATGTGATGCAAAGTAGCAGCCGCGTTTCATGCATTGAGTTTCTTTTCGGCAACCATCCGCTGTTAACAAAACACCAGATTTTCTCCCTAAACGAGCAGTGCCGTGAACCAGATTTGTAAAAGCGAGACCACAAAACCAAGCCCTTGTAACGTTCTCGGTTCACCCGGCGTCTAGAAAGGGGTCCATAGAAACGCTTCCTGATCGACGAAACTCCACCTCCACCATCAGCGCTCCCTCTTTCCCGTTACACACTTTCGCATTTCGGAACATTTGCATTCGTTCACGTGACGAGATCTGCGTAGCACCAGTTACCTCGCTGATGCGCGTTCGAAACTGTCGTACACTTCACTGAGACCCTGACTGCCGCGCCATATCACCCACCGCACGAGAGGCTGATGTTGATCACCTCCTTACAGAAGACTACGATTACCTCTTACCAATAACGCGTAGTGGCATAGTGATAAGTATCTGTCATCCTGTCTGCTTGTCTCAAAACCGCTTGCTCAGCTAGAGCCTGCGTCATTCTGCCTCGGCTTCGCTTCTCATTCATAGCCATCCTATTTTATCGAGTGGAATTCACAATCACTGCGCATTTCAGATCGTTTGGCGTGCTCGGCGCCCATTGCGGAGCTCAGATTCAATTGTCAACTCTTAGGCGTCCTAGTCTCACGGCGTTTCGATCTGCGAAACCCTAGAAAGTGGCCTGAGGTAAGGCTGGTCCCGTCATTCCATTCGTTTAGGCTTGCCTACCACCACTAACCTCATTTTCCTCCATTCGCCGAAGCTTTTGAGTCCTTAGATTCTCCCCAGGCCTGTTCGTCTCATTCTCGTGCCTATGCCTCCCGACCGTCTCCGTTCCACGTCCCTAGTAGAGCTTAGGGCGCCGAAAGGAAAACGAAATAAACAGTCATTTACTCGTAATTGTACTCGTGCTCTTATTAGGGCAAACTGAACGCACCTGTCATGTGACGTGTGAGGCAAACTGAACCTAGGCATGGCCAAGGAGTCAGTAAACTGACGGGTGACATGACGCTTTGCAAGTCCCATAATCGCAAATTCTGTGTTTGCTGCTGTCCTGATAGTTGATTTCCTGCAGTTACAGCCACGCTGTTTTTCTTTACTGCTATTTGAACATTTCATGTTTCTGCTAAAGTGTTTCCCGCACCATTATCTAGTCACGAGCAGCAGGCGAGGCCAAAGTACTCGCCTCGTTTCAGCTTTCCTTGTTCCACTAACGCGGTGTGGCGAGTATCACGCGGGTTATCGTCTCCGTTGCGTCGTGACTCCCCTTGTGGAGAGAGTGTTTCTTTCCGGGTCAAGGCAAGCGACACTCCCTCAACACCCTTTAGAAACTCGCCCAGCACTACTGGAATATCCAAACTGCCTCTCCCCCCCCCTCCCACCCCCACCATGCCCCACCTAACATTCACCCTAATCAGCACGCAAGTTTTCCTGAAATCAGTTTTCTCTGGCAAGTCGTGCAGGGACCAAAATCTGTACTCACGCCCACTTTTTAGGAGAAAATGAGTGCCTGTACACTCTACAATCGATGCCCGTACTGCGGCAGTGGGGTAACTTGGATGAGGCGAGGCTGAGGCGTTGACCATTTAAAGAAAAAGGAATGGAGCGAATTTTTAGTCGCTATTTGCTCATGTTTACTTGGATTAAATGTTTCGTGCCCTCATGTGCCTGTTTTCTTGTGTGCGTGTCCCTGTTTTCTTGTGTGCGTGTCCCTGTTTACTTTTGTGTTCGCTTCCAACCGACATTGAAAAGGAGGGAGGCGGCTTAATCCAACCTGCAGTTATGGCTATCGAGAGGGAGGCAAGTGCGATAACTGAAACAGTAAATGGACTGTTCGAATTATTGAGAGGGGAATTGGCAGCATTGAGGGAGGAGCTGGTAGTGGTTTTTTGAGGAGGTGGTTCGACAGAAGGAGCGAGTGTTAATGCTGGATGAGAGGAACCGGGTTCTGGAAGGCCAGGTGAATGAGTTGCGGCGTGCACTGGGTGTTGTCGGTGAGAGGAGTGTGGCGACTGCTGCTGTGGTGGAGGAGAGGGAGAGAGAGTTGATAGCAGTGAAGGGGGAGCTGGCAGTAGTGAAGGGGGAGGTGGTTGGAGTGAAATCGGAGCTGGCAGTAGTGAAGGGGGAGGTGGTTGGACTCAAAGCAGAGATGATTGGAGTGAAGGGGGAGCTGGTTAGAGTGAAGGCGGACCTGGCAGTAGTGAAGGGGGGGTTGGTTGAACACAAGGATGCTATGATAGAGCGACTGCATATGGCCGAGGAAAGAAGGGAATTCAATTTGAGAGAGTTGCAAGAGGAAGCTAGAAAGGGGGACAAGGAGATGCGAGCGGGGTTGGCAAGGGAGAGGGGGGAGAGGAGGAGGGAGGTGCAGGAGGAGTTGGAGGGATTGGGGGCCTGGAAGGAAGGGCAGAGGATACAAGACCTGAAGCTGAATCTTGCGCTGGAGATAAGGCAGAGCAAAGGCACTCGGAAGAAAGCCTTGGAGGTGCGTGAGTGCTTAGTGAATGAGTGTAATTGGGCATGAATCACTTGGTTGGTACTTGTTCTACGTGTCGTTGTGATCAACATTCATGGCTTGTTTGCCTTCGTCGCCCTTTAATTCCAGGCAATTAAGTCAGCATCACAGAAGAGCAATTTGAAGCTGAATACTCTCCACGAAGGCCTCTCAGACGCCATCCTCGGCCATGTGTCCACAATGACCCATCTCAAGAGCATTGACTTGTCCTTCAGCTCGGGTTTCAGTGCAGAGGGCATCAAGCGCCTCTACAGGCTGTCACAGCTGGAGAAGCTATACCTAACTTGCACATGCGTCTCAGACAGTGCGTTGGAAGACGTTGGGTCCTTGGTCAGTCTTAGGGAGCTCCATCTCCTACTTACCAAGGTGACCGATGCTGGTCTGGCACACTTGACAGGCCTTTCGTCTCTCAGGGTGCTGGTGTTTGGTAATAATAAGGGTGTGACAGATGCTGGCATGGTGTATGTGGGGAGGCTGACAAAGCTTGAGGGCCTTTGTCTGGGTGGCACGGCAGTCACGGATGATGGGCTGCAGCAGCTGACTGCCCTGACCAAGCTGACGCGTCTTTTTACTCCAGAAAGGGTTCAGCTTGAGAATGATGACGTGCGCAGGCGGATAGGAATGTAGGGTGGCAGGGGGTGGTGATGGAAAGGGACAGGAGGTGAGGGAGGACGTGATTGTGCCTTGATAGGGACGACTGAGGAGGGGAGTCATGCATGCAGGGGAGGGAGGCATGGAATGGTGGTTTAACTCGCACTCTGCAGAGAGTTCGGGAATGGTTGTGCCTTGCTGTTGGGCAGAAGCAGGTGCAGAGCCGGTTGGGCAAGAGGCTACTGTGTGCATGGGGGGAGCTGCTTAGGATTTGCCTGCTTTCAGACGTCTTAAGCTCAACTTTTATTGGAAGCAGGTGCAGGGCTGGTTGGGCAAGAGGACACTGTGTGCATGAGGGGAGCTGCATAGGAATTGCCTGCTTTGAGACGTCTCAAGCTCAACTTTTATTAAAAGCAGGGGCAGAGCTGGTTGGGCAAGAAACTATCGTGTGCATGGGGGAGCTGCGTACGAATTGCCTGCCTGGCACTTGTTATGATGGAGGGGGAAGCGGTTATCAGCAGGGTGGACGGGGAAGGGGAGGCAGGGAAGCTGGGAAAAGGGCGAGCAAGAGAGCAGTGAGGGAGGTGAGCATGGTGGGTGAAAGCAGTGGTGGCAGCAGCAGTGGCGGCAGCAGCAGCAGCAGCAGCAGTGGCAGCAGCAGCAGCAGCAGCGGCGGCGGCAGTGGCCGCAGCAGCAGCAGCAGCAGCAGCGGCGGCAGTGGCAGCAGCAGCAGCAGCAGCGGCGGCGCCAGTGGCCGCAGCAGCAGCAGCAGCAGCGGCAGCAGCGGCGGCGGCAGTAGCATTGATGGCAGCAGCAGCAGCGGCAGCAGCGGCAGCAGCAGCAGCAGCAGCAGTGGCAAAAGCAGCAGCGGTGGGTGATGGTTGACAAAGGGGGTGAAGAATGCCTCGCATGGCTGCATGTGGGGAGCTGCATAAGAAAGGCTGGCTGTTCGGGTGCAGGGTATACGAGTATCTTCAGAGAGGAGAGGGTATGGATAGAGTGTATGATAGAGTTTGTAAGGCATTGCTTCAAGTAACATGATCACCATAGCAAGGTCTGCATGATAGCTATGCTAGGCCTAGGCTAAGAGATCCAGTGAAGTGAACGTTTGTCTTTTGTCAAATTCAGAATGCTATACAGCGCTTTTAGATTGTAACATAACATAGGCATGCATCCATGCACAGTAGCTTGCAAGATGAAGATTCTGCTGGCTAAGCTGGTGAGCAGGGAGGGCATGGTCCATGGGACAGTGGGCAGCCGTAAAGCAAGAGTGGGCCTGTGCCTTCATGGGAAAGGGTACAAGGAAACACATGCTGCTGCAACACCCACCCACATGGCTTTCCACTGGCATGCTGGAGGCAAGTACGGTAGGAGATAGAGAATTCCTTACTGAGCGGATCTGGTTCTCAAAGATGCATTGCAAACAGCTCTCCCTCCTGTGTGTCACCAGCTCTCGCAGTGGCTTGACGTGCCTCAGTATACATGACTCAACGAATGACACCTGAATTCCTGATATACCGTGCATGACAAAACCTGATATAACTGCACCTCACTTGAGCCACACTCTGCCCACTAAATCCACCCCCCATGGCTGGTTACTAGTGCCTCATCTGCTGCTGAGTGGCACCCATCTGCACCACTCTATGCTCACAAAAATTGTGCTGTGACTAAGTGATGTGCAGGCACGAGTGCAAGAGAGGTAAATGACTGAGGGAAGCAAAAGTGACTGGGACACAACAGCACAGTGGGATGTGTAATATGAGATGAGGTACGACATGATGGGATGAGATGTGGGATGGGTTATGGAATGAACGGGATATGAGACAAGGTGTGGGATGAGGTGTTGGACGAGGCGGTATGGGGGATGAGGCACGCTATGAGGTGCTGGATGAGGTATGGAATGGGTTGCAGTGCACATGCACATCTATCCCACCACTATGCTTTCCTGCCTGATTGCATTGCACAACCATGGCTGCTCATGTAGCTCACAACCGAACTACCAACGCTGAAGACACTCCCCACTAAAATCAATTACCAACACACCAGCATCTTGGCTCTGCCCATGCCCCTGCCACCACCTCTCCTGACTTTTGAAACATCCCAAAAGTTTTGAGTCGACTCAAAACCAACACACCAGCATCTTAGTTCTGCCCATGCCCCTGCCACCACCTCTCCTGAGGCGCCCTCACTCCTCGCCATGCCACCGTGGGGAGGTGGTTGCTAGAAGCAGCTGAGGGGAGATAGGAGGAGGGAAAGTGGGGTTGGGGGAGAGCATGCAGCGTCCCTCTGCTGCCACCATCAACTACCCATCAAGGAGGAGGGGGAGGGGGAGAGGAGTATTGGAAACAAATAGGAGAGCAGGTATGAGTGTCAGCGGGCATGAGTGTTGGTAGGCATGAGCGGGTAAGGCATTGAGTGAATCCAAAGAGATTCAGGGATGGCGATCACTGCATGCGTACTAGGGAATTGGGCATGTTTGGTTTGGGTGTGGGATGAGGGTATGCGATCAGATGGGGTGTGAGGTGAGGGGATGAGGTGAAGGGGATGTTTGGTTGAGGTGTGGTATGAGGTAGGGGATGAGATGTATGTATGTGCACAGCACTCCCAACAATATTTTTTCCTGTTACAGCGCTCAACCAAGGCTTCTGATGCAGCTCACAAACAGACATTACACGCTGAAGACCTTCCAATCTGAAATGCCAAATACCAAGTGACTTTTGAGTCGACTCAAAAGTCACCTCAACCAGGGCTTCTGATGCAGCTCACAAACAGATCCCAAATAACCAGAGGTGAAGACCCTCCAATCTGAAATGCAAAATACCACTGCTCCAGTGCCCTTGATTCCATCACTTAACTTCACCTCCCCTGAGTCAACCTACCTCAACGCCACCATGGGGAGGGGTGGGGCTGTGGGAGTGGGAGAGCATGCGGGCCCCTCTGCTGCCACCATTGACTGACCACTCAGCATGGCAAGCCGTGTTTTGAGTCGACTCAAAACAAGGCTCCGTCCAATAAGAGCTATGCTTTCAATAAGAGCTATGCTTTCAATAAGAGCTATGCTTTCAATAAGAGCTGTGCTTTCAGTAAGAGCTATGCTATGCCTTCAGTAAGAGCTATGCTATGCCTTCAGTAAGAGCTATGCTATGCCTTCAGTAAGAGCTATGCTATGCCTTCAGTAAGAGCTATGCTATGCCTTTAGTAAGAGCTATGCTATGCCTTCAGTAAGAGCTATGCTATGCCTTCAGTAAGAGCTATGCTATGCCTTCAGTAAGAACTATGCTATGCCTTCAGTAAGAACTATGCTATGCCTTCAGTAAGAACTATGCTATGCCTTCAGTAAGAGCAATGCCTTCAGTAAGAGCAATGCCTTCAGTAAGAGCAATGCCTTCAGTAAGAACTATGCATTGACCGACCGACCAACTGACCACTCACCATGGCAAGCGCCAACTCTTCATGCAGGTTTTGAATCGACTCAAGACATCTGCATTAACAAGGTTCCTTTCAATAAGAGTTATGCACTGACCACGGACTGACCACTCACCATGGCAAGCGCCAACTCTTCATGCAGGTCTTGAATCGACTCAAGACATCTGGATTAACAAGGTTCCTTTCAATAAGAGTTATGCACTGACCACTCAGCATGGCAAGCGCCAACTCTTCATGCAGGTCGTTGTGGCGCTTGCGATGCTGACTCCGCATACTAGTTGACTTGACACGTTCAATACTGCCCAGAGAAGACGCCAACTCTTTATGCAGGTCTTTGTGGCGCCGCATTACAGTTGATATTGACACGTTCAGTACTTGCCACTATAATAATTCCCACTATAATAATGCCCACTATAATACTGCCCACCGCACAACATCGTCCGACTTTTGAGGCGCTTCAAAAGTCCTCTGCATGAATCCATCCACGAGACTCGTGAATATGGAAAGACTCGCACAAGGAACTGGTAAGTTAAAGTTAACAGTAGGAATAGACATGATTGATACAGTGGGTTTAGAACTGACTCTTCCAAAAACTAGTTACCTGTTGAATGTCAGACATGGCACCCGAAATGAGGGTCACTCTCATTACACATGCCACCCTCTGCAACCCCAAATAAAGGTTCTCTGCGCAAACTCCAGCCAGAGCCACACACGAAACGGCATCCAGCATCTGAAGCATACCCACAGGGAGAGAAGGAAGGTAGGAGGCGGATGCTTTGGAGTCGACTCAACTTCAGCCAGAGCCGCGTACGAAACGGCATCTAGCATTTGATCTGAAGCATACCCACAGGGAGAGAAGGAAGGCAGGGGGGGGAACGCTTTCGAGTCGACTCAAACGCTTGTGAGTCGACTCAATTCCAGCCAGAGCCACAAGCGAAACGGCATCTAGCATCTGATCTGAAGCACACCCACAGGGAGAGAAGGAGGGCAGGGGGCGAACGAGTGGCAAACGTGCTGATTGAGAAGGCAGGTACCAGTGGTTCATAAACAGAAGAGTCGATTTTTGAGGCGCCTCAAGTGGAGTCTACTTTTGAGACGCCTCAAAAGCAAACGTGCTGATTGAGTTGGCACCAGTGTCTCACAAACAGATGAGTCAATTAAGACCAAAACTAATCCACAGGCCATATGCAGGAAGTCGTGATGGGTTACCCAGCAATAGACCTGACAGGCACCAGGTTTTATTTGTTAAACCAAAAAAAGTGCTGCTTCTGAGAGTTGAGATGCAAAACATGTTGCTTCCTGAAAAGACTTTCACATCAGATTTTTTTTGCCGAGTTCTTGTCTGCTTCTGGAAGACTGGAAGTCCGAATCCAAATTGGTTGTGCCTGCTTTCACATTCAGAGTCCCGAGAGGCGTCCAGCCTGGAGAGAATCGAATCTTACGTCGGATTTGATTTGACACGTTCTTGTCTGCTTCTGGAAAAAAAGGTCAAAGAAGCTGGTGCCGCGCTGCACGTTGAGTTGAGGGCGCCGTAGCGCTGTTAGGCGTCCAGCACTGACAGCGCTGATAGGGATGCCCACCAGGTAGGAGCTGACTTTTGAGTCGACTCA